AAAAAAAAAAGAAAAGTAAAAGAAACATTCTTTCATTGTTGTGCAATCCCTCCCCGCCCCCCACCCCAGTGCAGCAACAGGTCAAAGTAGTTTTAGGCCCGTGCCTTCATTAGGACTCTCCTTTTCCCCTTCGATTTTTACATCTCTAGTCTTTACTTTTTACACGTTGCCACAGCAATGACATCAAACAGACCAGCAATTGTGAGGGTGACCCAGGTCAGGGCAGTGCTGTATTTATTCTGTTATACAGAAGGTCACACGAGCAGACGCTGATGTGAGGACAATTAGCAACAACGCTTGTCTACCTCAGACTATACCAAAATACTCACATAAGCTGTGGCGGTGTAGCCCATGGGGTGTTGTGCTGCTAACCCCAACGCCGAGTTGTCTAGGGGTTCGAATCCGCCCGCATCCTCAGGGCTGGAAGATGGGCAGTATTATCCCATTGTGACTTATGGTCTTGGAAATCTGACAGAGGGTCATAAGTCAGAATGGCAGTGAGTAAATACAGACAGGTAATGGTTCTGTAAGATTTACTTGGAGTTTCTGATTAGAAAGAATAACCTTTGGCTGTACTGATAACACAGAGTTGTTAGTTGTTTTTTTCCCCCAAGCACTAACTCTGGAGAGGTCAAGGAGGGGGGCAGGCTTGGGTGTTTTGCGTAGTTTCAGGGGACAGTGCACCTTGAACTTGCTGGGCTGGAGGCGGGGCTTGGCTTTCTCCATTGCTTACTGCTCTGGCCCCACCCCTGCACCAGCATAAAACCTGCCCGCGGCCTCCCAGCATCGCACAGCCCGGCTCACAGAGCCCAGCGGAGGACTGGAGACTGCCCCGCCTGGCAAGCTGCCATGGACCTGATCCCAAGCTTTTCCACCGAGACCTGGATTCTCCTGGTCACCAGCCTGCTGCTCGTTTATCTGTGAGTAGCTAGCTGCCTCTTCAGCTTTGTAGTTGTTGTACTTCTCTGGCCTCTCCCCCTAGCTGTTTTGAAGATGAGAATTAGGGGGCAGAGGGGAATTTGCTTAAGAGTCAGCTGTTACAAAATCATATGGGCTTATTAAGTCATCTTATGCAAATTCTATGAAATGACTCCGTTGCAAGTCATCCCCACCTCCCAGAGTTCAGTTGCTGAGGCAAGAAGCGTACAGTGATGTTTTTGTCCTGGACACTGGCTACCAGTTTGGTCCTCGATAAATGAGTAAGAACCCAGCAGATGTGTGCCTGAGGACAATGGGCCTCTCAGTCCAGGGATGTCCAGGCCACAGGAGGCCCTTCATGGGCTTTGCACTTTTTGTAGCTTTTCCCATGCCTTTTTAGCGGCTTGGTCGCTCTTTCTTCTTTTTACTGACCTTTTGTACCTAAGTTTTGTTTTATTCCATGTTATAAGATGGACCAGATTTCTTTGGCACTTACATGGAATGAAGGGTTACCATCCAAAAAAAGAGGAGACAAGGTCTCGTGTCCAGTGCCTGGGACCCGTCACGGCTGCTTGTTCAGTGTTCCTGACAAGGCGCCGTCTAGATGCCGTAAAGTCACTCTCTAAGCTGAATAGTTCTGGACGGCTGGTTGGACTGGGCTTCTCGGCTCACAGCCCTGAATGCCCACTTAGCTGCTAACTTCGCAGGACAAGCAGCTTCGCTGTGAATGGCCATCAGCAGCCTCGGCCCTCGGCCATTTCTCCTCCACCTGGTCACCTCGCAGGAACAGCAGTGTGCAAACACCAGTCTACAGACTCAGACACGCAGACGTGCGAAAACTCACCCTGCACAAAGAAAATCAAATTCTTTATTGAAAATCAGGAGATGATTTGGACTGAGCAAACTTTTCAGTTGACAGAGTGAGGAGGGCTATGGCACAGAAGAAAGAGTCCACTGTATTTATACACCCATGAAAGTTATGCAATTGGGATTGGTGGGAAGGTCACAGGAGAGTGAGGGAGGGAGAGCCGTGAGTGGAAGTGTAGGGGGGGGGAACTGGTGGGATCACATGACTGGTCAAAATGACAATTGTAAACATATGTGCTCTTCAGGTACAGACTAAGGTAAGACAGGTTTTCCTGGAAAATGATAATTAAAATTGTTTTCCTAAATGTACTTGTTTCTGGGAGGTCATTGCATCAAAGATGTATCAGTAACATGACCCTTTGGACACAAGCTGTTATATCCAGTATCTGTGGAACATGATGGAAGACTCCCTAGGAATAGCTTGTGATATCCGACATCTGTGAGACTTTCTGGTTACAGGACTTAGGTCACCACAGAGATCAGAGAAATTAGGCTCAGTAAAAACCACTTAAAAATTCAAATTAGGCTCAGTAAAAACCACTTAAAAATTCATGTGGATTTCAGACCAGTATCAAGACGTAAAGCGGAATTAAGGCTTCACTTTCAGTTATTATACTTACACACGCTCAGTGCTTCTGGTGGGAACGATACTCTAAAACAAAAGCCAGAACTAGGAACACAGCATGGTTTAAAATCACGTGAAAGGATATGTGTCAGAATTGCAGCCTCTCTCCACACCTGTTCAGTCTGTATGCAGAACGAATGGAGAAGCTGTTCTCCATGGAGAAGAATGTGGGGTCAGGATTGGAGGAGGCTCAACAGCCCGTGTCAGGTGGACCTGGATGGCGGAGATGAAGAAGATTTCAGTCACTTACTGCAGAAGATGAAAGACTATGCAGAGCCTGCAATATGGGTTTCGTCTCAATGTCGAGAAAACAAAAATCCTCGCCACTGGACCAAAAGGCAATACGCTGAGAGATGGAGAAAAGATTAACTTTGCAAATGATTACATTTTACATTTGGATCCACAAGCGACACCCATGGCAGCAGCAGTCAAGAAATCAACAGATGTGTTGCGTTGGAGAAATCTGCTGTCAAGGACCCATCCAAAGTTCTAAAGAAAAACGAGGTCAACTTAGAGACTAAGGTGCACCTGATCTGAGCCTTGTTCTTTTCAGTTGGCTCCTGTGCACCTGAATGTTGGACAATGAATAAGGAAGATCAAAGAAGAATCAATGCTTTTGAGCTGTGGTGGTGATGAAGAGTACGGAATATTCCATGGGCTGGAACAAAACAAGATTAGAACAAACAGATTAGTCTTGGACAAAGTGCAGGTAGGGTGCTTTTCAGAGGCAAGGACTGTGAAACTTCCTCTCATGTACTTTGGGTTTATTTTCAGGAGGAATCGGTCATTAGACATCATGCTGGGGGAGGGTGGGCAGAGGATTGGTGAAGGAGAGGAAGAGCCCCAACGAGGTAGCTTGACCACAGTGACTGCCACAGTGGATGTGAGCATGAGAGATCGTGCAGGATAGAGCAGGGTTGGTCAGGATTTCTTGTTCATAGGTTTGCTAGGAGAAATAGTTCACTTGACAGAATCCAAAAGCTACAACGAATGGCTCTAATTTTGGATAGTTGTCTTTTTTTTTTTTTAAATCAAAGATGTCTGTGACTTTTAAAAAAATCAGACATAAGCATGTGTTATTCCACATGCACTGTTTTCATTCTATCTGGTTTCTTTTTGGACAGCCAGTTATCTAAGTAAGTGTTTAGGATTCCAGCCACTACTGAGTCTGAATGGTTGGGGACAGTTTCTTCTCTTTAACCCTGTCTGTTTTAGTCACCCCTTGCTCAGGGACCATCAGGGGAAGTTATGTGTGGAGCACAGGTGCAATACACGGACTCCTTATTTGTCTTGTAAGCAGGAAGTCTCCAAGGGGAGGCTCACTCAAAGAAGTAGTTTAGGCTAGTCTGTGGCTCTTTTCCTTTTTAAAGTTTCTTATTTTGTTGATATTGTTTGTATCTTGGCCATTTGCTTTTTGTTTTCTTTCTAAGAAATTTAAATATTCAATGAAGGGTTTTCACTATAAAGTTGAATGACAGGAAAGACCCCTAAATGACTCAATGTGTTGTTGTTGTTGTTATGTGCCGTCGAGTTGTTTCCGACTCATAGCGACCCTATGCACAACAGCCCTAAACCCTGCTCTATCCTGCGCCAACCGCACCACCTCTGACACACCCATCCCGATTACCCCAGTCACCGAATCAATCCATCTCATAGAGGGTCTTCCCCTCCTGCGCTGTCCCTCCACCCCCCCAAAGCATGATGTCCCTCTCCAAGGACCCGTCCCTCCTGGCAACATGTCCAAAGTATGTCAGACGAAGCCCCAGAATCCTTGCCTCCAAGGAGTAGCTTGGTTTAGCCAGTCCTAATCTAACAATGATGCTAGAAGTTGCAGGTAAATAGTCTAATTGTTGGATTTAGTCCCCTCTTTAAGGAAGCTCTCACCCTACATGTAAGCACCTATCCTATCCTGTCCTGTCCTGTCCTGTCCTATCCTATCCTTGGAGGAGATCGAGAAGTTGGCAAGAGTTGAAAGGAGGTGCAGTAATACGGAGAAGAACGCATTTCCCCCTGTGGTGCTGTGGGTAGCTATCTTTGATATATGAAGAGATAGGTGGAGAAGAGCCAGGCAAAGGGGGAACTTGATTGAAGTTAAAGGAAAACATGGTATTTGAAGTTGTGTCAATCAAGAGAACATAATAACCTGAAGTCGACAGCCCACTTGGAGACGACAATGAGATTGCAGTAAGGGGAATGAAGTTGTAGTCAAGTTCAGGAGCAATCAGATGGTATGAACTTTTATGAACCATTCATGGTGCGGATGACAGATACAGCATTCAGTGAGGCTGGCTGTGCTCACCACTGACTGGCCAGTTTAACAAATGTATTCCAATTTCAAGTGTCAGTAGAGCCTTCAATAGCAGGAAAAGTGATTTAAGAAGGACTTCCCCGAACAGATCAAGGCAATAAGCATACAAATATTACCCATGGTAGAATGAACTTCTGTGGTTGGCATGTTGGTGTTGTGTGCCATTGAATTGGAACTGACCCATGGCTGACCCTCTGGCAGGTTTTCAAAGGTGGTTAATCCCATGGGAGGAGACTGTCCATCCTTCTCTGGCAGAACAGCTAGTGGCCTTGAACTGTGCGCCTTCAGGATTGCAACACAGCTTCTTGACACTAGGCCACCAGAACTGTGGTTTGCAAACAAGAGACAATTAGCTAATAAGAACAATAGAAAGATGGTGGCTACATATACTAAAATTTTTGGGCAATACATAAAGACTTTACCAGTTAGTGAAGCCTAATTTAAAACAGCAATTAAAAAAATAATTAATATTAAACATACATCTATAACTCAAATAATTTTTATCTACCAAGTGATAATTCAAAGACTATAAATTCTTAGGGTGTAAACATAATCCTTGTAGAGTCCAAGGATTCTTATTGCTTTCTGTGTACCATGATCTCCACTGTGCCTATGACTCAAGGTGAGTTGTCTCCTTCAGACGTTGTCCCTGTTGCCGGAAGTGAGGTCAGGTGAACTCAATCTAAGCTTGTCCATGGACCGACCGCCCCAGGGACAAACACGTCTGTGTTGGAGGAGTACAGGCCAAATTCTCCTTGCGAGCGAGGGTGGAGGTTGTTGGCTTCCGTCTGGATTGTGTTCTGTGGAGGGCCCAGGTCCTGGAGAAGGCATCGAGCTTCGTAAAGTAGAGGAAGATCCACAATGAGACCAAGCGGCTGCAACCGGAGGCTTAGCCAGCAGAGGCTGCGAGGCTGGTGAAGGACCCGCAGGGTGAGCGCCGGTGGACGTGGGGTTTATGAGTTGGAGGTGATGAGATGAATCTCACAACAGCAGAAGCAACAACTCAAGGGCCACCTACCAACATCCAGCCGTGAGCTCTGGGCGACTTTAGCTGGAAGAGACAAACACAAGTCTCAACCTCTGATCATTTAGTGATATGTTGTGCTTGTCGTTAGGCCCCATGTAGGAATAAGATCCTGTCTAAGGAGGCCCAAGAGAGCTTTTCATTTGATTGCTTTCAGTACAAGTGACCTCCAGGTTCTAGTTGCAAGGTGGGAGCATCACAGGCTTATTTTCATGAAAAACCTTCTTGACTAAGGAGACATAGGGCTTAGCATAATAAAGGAAAGCTTGACTGTATTTTAAAGGACCAGTTTGGTTTAAATTAGAATCAACTTTGGCTGATGCACAAAGGAGGCATCTGGTGACAATTTTATGAACTGTTTACTTTGTGGTTTGAAAAGAATAGACCTCAAATTTAACACACTAAGAAGAAGCAATTTGGTGTAAGGTAAGTGTGAAAAGACAGGAAGTTTGGCTCCTTGATTTTTGAAGATTTTATTAATATTTTATGCAAGGCCAGAAGATTGTGGGTAGTGAGGATAATGGAATCTCTGAAAACCAGAAAGCTTTCACACACTTGATGACTTAGCCAGGGAAATGTTGTCTCTCTTACTATGGAGAAGTTTTAGGACTCCCTAGATAAGGATTTTGGAAGCAAGAGTGGTATCCACTTCCTAAACAACATGTCTCCAGAAGCTCTATGAATGTTGATAAATGTCGATAGTTGTAGAGGGATTTCAGGCCTTTTTTCATAGGGTCGCTATGAGTCATGCTCGACTCGAAGGCAACCCACAACAACAACAACATATAAGGATTATTTTAAAAAAATGCCTTTGCCACAAAAGTGATGGTAACCTCACAGCACTGAAAGACTTCTTCCCAATGAGGAAAATCTACAGATCATGGCTAAGACACACAACCACTGGAGGGACGAAGTGGCAGAGTCATTCTGTAACTTCAGCCTTGACCTGTCGTTCCTTAGACAAAGGCAGTTTAGGACATGATTGGAGCAGACCAAACAAGACTTACCTATATGGTCAGATTCAGCCCGTCTGTTTTCTGTACATCTTGTCCTTCATTAAGAGGATGAATTTGACAAGCTATAACTTATGCCCAAACTATCACTTTATATTCACTCCTCACTACAATTAGTTTTATATAGTTTCCAGGATTAAAATCGTTATCAATGCACCACATAGTTTCCAGGATTAAAATCGTTATCAATGCACCACCAAATAGCAATACATTCTTTCCTCCCTATGCTGTCACTGAGTATATAGAGTTGGAACCAATCCACAGCTGACCCTCCAGTGAGTTTTCAGAGACAGTTAATCACACAGGAGGAGATTGCCCATCCTTTTTCTGCATAGCAGTGGGTGGATTCAAACTTCAAACTGTGTGCCTTTGTGAATGCAGCCCAGCTTCTCACCACTAGGCCACCAGAGCTCTCTTGCTGCCTGCAGCTGGTGCTATAAAAATTAGTGGGTACAGGAAGGTAGGTGAGTCAGACAGAAATCTATGGCATGGCAATAAATCTCAGTAAATCACCAAACAGAGCTTTCCACAAGGATGACTAAGTCTTGTAAATTTAAGTCAGAACCTTGACGAACATGTTGTTGTTGTTGTGTGCCCTTGAGTAATCCATGACTCATGGCGACCCTATGAACAGTAGCTCTGAACCCTTCCCTATCCTGCACCAGTCCCACTCGCTCTGATACAGCAATCCCACTGCCCCAGTCATTGAATCAGTCCATCTCATCTGGGGTCTTCCTCTTCTGCACAGTTCCTTATGTGCTGTTGAGTCAGCTGTGACTCACAGTGTCCCTATGCTATGAGCAAAACCTTGAATGATCCAGGAAGCAATAAAAGAAAATTGAAGGAATGTACAGAGTCACTATAAAAAACGAACTAGTTGACACTGAACAATTTAAGGAAGTATCTTACGAAGAAGGTCCAGGAACTGATGTGATACTAATTGACATGCTTCAATCAGCAGACACAGCCAGGACATGTTCGCCAGTTTATGACAGGAAATTTGGGTGACAGCCACTTTATAGGCTGATGAAAAGAAATCTATATTTGTTCCCATTCCCAAGAACTGTTATACAACAGAATGTGGAAATTATCAAACAATATCATTAATGTTACAGGCAAGCAAAATATGGCTGAAGATCATCCAAAATGGACAGGACAGAACAGAACATTGACAGAGAACTGCCAGAAGTTTAAGCAGGATTTAGAAGAGCCTGTGGTACCAGGGATATATCATTGCTGATATCAGATTGATCCTGGCTGAAAGTAAAGAAGATCAGGAGAATGTTTATTTTTGTTTTACTGACTATGCAAAGGCATTTGATTGTGTGGGTCATAACACATTATAGCTAACATTGAGAAGAATGAGAATCCCAGAACACATAATTGTGCTCACACAAAACCAATACTTAGATCAAGAAACAATTGTTTGAACGGAACAGGGGAAGACTGCGTAGATTAAAATCAGGAACGGCGTGCCTCAGGGTTATATCCTTCTCCATACCTATTTAATCTGTATGCTGAGCAAATAATTTGGGAAACTAAACTCTGTGAAGAATGTGGGATCAGGATTGAAGGAAAATTCATCAACAGCCTGGGTTATGTAGATGAGACAACCTTGCTTGCTGAAAGTGAGGAGAACTTGAAATACTCATGAATAAGACCAAAGACTACAGCCTTCAATATGGATTTTATCAAGAAGACAAAAATCCTCACCGTTGGGCCAATAAGCAATATCATGATAGACGGAGAAGACATCAAAGTTGTCAATGATTTCATCTTACGTGGATCCACAATCAACACCCTTGGTACCAGCACCCAGAGGACCAGAAGACAGACTACACTGGGCAAGTCTGCTGTCAGGGATCTCTAAAAAACTTGAGCAATGGTGTCAGTTTAAAGACTTTTAAATGATTTTTTAAGTGTTTTATAAATTATAAATAGAAATTTATTGTGTGTAACCTGTCTGGTTTATTAAATCCAAATGGCAGAGGGCCCTCAGCCTGCAGTCTGTTCAGTCTAGCCAATAGGTGAGCTGGTTCAGTGGCATAGTGGCTAAGGAGTTGCTCTACCAATCCTCCAAGGGCAGGCAGGTTCTATGGCAGTGACTTGGGATTGAGCTGGTGCAGTGCGTTACATATTTAACTAATAACTAAAACGGTAGCAGTTCGAACCCACCAGCCACTCCCCGGGAAAGAGATGAGGCAGTCTGCGCTCATTAAGATTCACAACCTTGGCCATCATCTTCTAATTCGTTTGTTATATGTCTGAAAGCTGGATGATGACTGTGGATGACAGAAGAAAAGTTGATGTTTTTGAGCTATGGTGTTGGAGTTAAGTACTGAATTCTCATGAACTGTCACAAGAGCGAACAGACATCTCTTAGAGAGGGTACAAATAGAAGGCTCCTTGGAGGCAAGCACCGTGAAGCCTCATCTTTCACACTCTGGATTTGTTGTTGGGAAATGCTATTCCTTGGAGAGGGACATCATGCTTGGACTGGTGGAGGGTCGGCAAAAGAGAGGAAGACCCTTGACTAGATGGATTTTTTGAAGAAATTCTTTAAAATATTAACCATTTTGTAAAATTATTAGCATGTTGGACGAAGTAATTGGGGATTTAGGACGACTGAGAGAACTGAGAGTCAGGGAATTGTTATTTTGTTTATGGCCCTTTGCTCCCGTACAATCTTCACCCCTGGTTCCCATGATTCTTCACAAGAAAGACAAGGACGTTTCAGGAACTGGTTCAGGATACTATTATTATATCTTTGTACGGAAATGTCTGAATTAAGTGTTCTAGTCTTTTCTTCACCTGGGAGCTCTGGTGGCTTAGTGGTCAAGAGATGCGCTGTCAAGCCAAAGGTATGTGATTCGAATCCACCAGCTGCTCCATGGAATAAAGACGGGCAGTCAACTCCTGTGTGCTATACTGCCTCTGAAAACCCACTGGAGTTCCAGCTACTAGTTTCAACTCAATAGTTTGAATCAACAACAAACAAGCTCTTTTCTTATGTAGTCCCATTCAGTGGGTTCCAGCCTCCCACTTCTGCGTAACCAAGTGACCACAAACACTTGTGCTACCCCAGAACCTTCAAATAGAGTAAGAACTCACTTAAGAAAGATCCAAGCCAAGACCCTGGAAAAGTGCTGGCTGGAAACATTCAGCAGACAAGGTTTAGAACCTTTAGGAAGTTTCATTGCAGGCTTGGTATCAAGATATTTTTACTGACTTTTTAGTAATCATTATTCTTTTTTTATGTCTCAGTGTAGATGGGAAAGGAGACGGGGATGAAGTAGGATTAAAGTGGTGCACATAACAACAACATGTATTATTATTATTATTGGTTGTTCCCCTGTTACCCCCTAGCTGGGGCATCTGTATCACTGTCCTGGTGACCTGGCCTGTGTCTCCCTTTGTAGCTATGGAATCCGCAAACACAGTGTCCTGAAGAAGCTTGGGATTCCTGGCCCCAAACCTCTGCCCTTTGTAGGAACCGTCCTGGCCTACCGCAAGGTGAGGGTTGCTGGTGTTTGGTTTTGATTTTTTCTCCTTCTTCTTATGGTTGCATATGCCTGTTCAATTCGATCAATAGGAATGCCCTTCTTTAAGAGGCAGCCTGTAATATTTCCTAGAAGTCGTGCATACGCCGTAGTGCACATTGGCTTGGATTACCTGTGGGGATCTACAGTCTGATACTGAAGTTTTGAGTTTGATAATTCAGTTCTCTGACAGACTCAGTACCAGGCTCAGTGCTCTAACACTGTGAATGCCCGAAGAGGAATCTTTCTGCAGCCTGTTTCTTTCTAAGAAGGCAGACTGGTACTTAAAAAGTAAGGACTGTAAATAGAAAGGAACAAAGGGAATTCTCATAGGGGTTCATTAAGCTGTTTACACGAGATTCAAGCTCGCCTGTGGCTCGTCTTTGTCTTTTAATACTCTTCTTCCTAGGCAAATATTTTTAAAAATAATGATTTAATATTTCTTTATTTTTGCTATTCTTCCTGGACAGTTTATAATCAGTGAGGCAGCTCACATATGCATTATCCGGTATTTGCACAGACTTCAGCCTCTTAACGACTAAACCCTCCAGGGTTATTTTCATGTTTTTATCCAGATCTTAGACCCACGCTGCAGACACTGAGTGTTCAGATACCAACCTGTTCTTCTGGTAGGACACAGTTCAACTCAGTGTAAAGGGCAAATTTTCTTTCAATCTCTATTTTCCTCCAAAAGATGTAGGTTTGGATACACTTAAATGAGCCATCTAATTTTGTTTTGTTTCTTCTTGTAGAGTATTTGGGAATTTGACATGCAAAATTCCAAAAAATACGGAAAACTGTGGGGGTAAGTATTTTGGAAACTCCCATTGGATAAAATTGTGATGAAGCTCTCAGCCGTGTGAAGGCCAATGGCAGCCAGGTGCGCAGGATAAGCTGCCTCTTGGAAAGCTGTGGAGATTTCTCCTACTGCAACCTCGAATGTCTCCAGCTATCCAAGTCTGTGATATGAGTGAAGACAGCAAAGTTGTAATCACTTTTCTCTAAACTTTGGTCAACGCTCCTTGCACTACTTTCTGTCCATTTTTCTTCCTTTAGCTCCCCCTACAACACAAAACAGCCATTATTTCAAATCCGCCTATTGTTTGCAGCCGAGTAATTTCGCCTGTCACCTCATCTGACAGAACAGATCTCCCTCCCACGTTTTCCAGGGTGGAAAGCTGGCAGGAGCAGATCGGCAGGTTTTTCTCCCCCAGAGTGGTGAGGTGTGTTCTAATGACAATCTTGACGTTAGCAGCCAAGCCCGTCAAAGGACGCCTTTGAACCTTGTGTTATGGTTTTGCTGTTGAGTTGGATAAGGTCCATAGTTGACCTTCTAGCAGGTTTTCAGAGACAATAAATTGCTCTGGGGGGGAATACCCATCCTTCTCCTGTAGAGCAGCAGGAGGAATTGAACCGCATGCCTTTGGGATTGCAGCACAGTTTCTAACCACGAGGCCACCAGAGCTCCTTCTTTAACTCTTGTAGTCTGTGTCAATTTTAACAGACTCCACACTAATAATCTCTATCAGAAGAGCAACTAAATATGCTCATATTTCCTTAACCTCACTCCTCTGAGCCTCAGAGTATTTTCGAAATATCAAGAAGTGTAGTAGCTATCATCATGATGACAGAGCCATTTGAAGTCAAGTGTGAAGTCAAATAACAAGTAACTTTTGAAGAATCTTTCATTTCTTTCTAGTAAAAGCACATGATTGTTGTTGTTGTTGTTATGTGCTGTTGAGTCGTTTGTGACTCATTGCAACCCTGTACAATAGCCCTAAACCCTGCTCTATCCTGTGCCAACCTCAATGTCTCCAACACACCTACTCCCTCTACCCCCCTCACCCCCCCCTGTCACTGAATCGATGCATCTCATCGAGGTCTTCCTCTCCTGTGCTGTCCCTCCACTCTCCCAAACATGATGTCCCTCTCCAAGGCCTGGTGCCTCCTTGCAACATGCCCAAAATATGTCAGATGAAGCTTCAGAATCCTTGCCTCCAAGGAACAGCCTGGTTTCACCCTCTCCAGGACAAACCTGTTTGTTCTCCTAGC